CTCTCTCTCTCTCTCTCTCTCTCTCTCTCTGACACCGTGTCTGAGCGAGTCTCTGCTTGAAAGGCAGCTGTGAGGTACTGAATTGCTGTTTTTTTGTGAGAGGTGGGTAAATGTATCTGCAATTGCACCTCCCCTCTCCCAGTACATTTTCCATGCTCGTTAGAACATTATACACACTAATTAATCCTTCCAACACCTCCATTAGGCAGGAAAACATTACTTCCACTATTTCACAGGTGGGGAAACTGAGGCCCAGGGGGGGGCAAAGTGATGTGCCCAAGGTCACAGAGAGAGTCGGTGGCATAACTGGGTTTAAAATGCAAGAGTTTCTGGCTCCCAGTGCTGAGCTCAGCCCAACCTCTCTCTCTCTCTCATATCCTATGATAGGTGTAGTTGACTATTGCATATGGATAAGGGGAAAGGCTTATTTTACAAATAGAATCAAAAGCGAGTGATTGTACCGGTGCTCTTGTGATTTAGATGATCTCTCAAGTCAATTTGAGGCTGATGAAAGGTACCAGCCTATCTGATCATTCTGGAGCCTGAATCTTGTATTGAACCCAGGTCATGTGCTGTGTAGACACCAGTAGTGCTCTCTTCCCTGCCTCCCTCCCCCTCAGTGTGCCTGAGCCCTCCCCTGGAAAGATCTCCTCCCAAGAGAGGGGAGTTGTCTCCATGGCCCATTCGCACTTCCGCTGAGAATGTCAAGGAGGGGGCCAATGGAGGAGGATCATGAGGGTACATTTGTTGGGGGATGTGGGCATCCATTCGCTCTGGAGTGTGACTTATCAACTCATTTCCCATGAAGCATCAGACAGGAATGCCTTGCACTCCATGTCCACCCATTTGAATGGGTGACCCACGTAGGGTGACCAGATGTCCTGATTTTATAGGGACAGTTCTGATTTTTGGGTCTTTTTCTTATATTGGCTCCTATTACCCCCCACTCCCTGTCCCGATTTTTCACACTTGCTGTCTGGTCACCCTAGACCCACGTGCCATTCCCAGTCCCCTGAGCCATGAAACTCTTGACCTAGAGTTGAAAGGCTCTGTATCCCACCCCCGATCTCTGAACCAGCCACCCTGTACAGGGGGGTTGTGTGTGTCCCTCTTCTGAAGTTTATATTATTTCTGCTAACAACACTGAATTTGCTTCTGGCTTGTTTTTCCCTCCTTTGTAGACGGCATCTTCTCAATGCTGCGGTGTCCTGGGGCCCTGGCCATATGGGAGAACTGGCTCTAGCTAAACAGCAGCAAGGGTTCAGCTCTTTCCTCCTCCCTACCCCCATCCTGCCCTTCACCTCCCCCACAGGGGCTATTAAAATGCTAATACTCTTGAGTACCAGGCTGTCACTTGATGGGAGGCCCAGCACTCTCTCCTCCCCTTCCTGGAGCTCCTATTGCTTACTTTCCTCACTTGTGCAGCTGAAAGCAGACTGGGCCCTGAGGGAAGGTGCCCTTTCTTCCTTGGCATTTGTTCTTTCTTAGTGCCCTCCTCTCTTGGCCAGGCTGGTGAACACAGAAAGAAGGAAGTGGAGGGCCACAAGGGTCACACATATCTAAGTTTCAGAGTAGCAGACGTGTTAGTCTGTATCCACAGAAAGAACAGGAGTACTTGTGGCACCTTAGGGCTGGTCTACACTAGGGGTGGGATTGATCTAAGATATGCAACTTCAGCTACGAGAATAGCGTAGCTGAAGTTGACGTATCTTAGATCGATTTACCTCATGTCCTCACAGCGTGGGATCGATGGCCGCGGCTCCCCCGTCGACTCCGCTACCGCCTCTTGCTCTGGTGGAGTTCCGGAGTCGACGGGGAGCGCGTTCGGGGATCGATTACTACCCGCCGATCCTGCGGGTAGTGAAGACGTACCCTATTTAGAGACTAACAAATTTATTTGAGCATAAGCTTTCGTGGGCTACAGCCCACTTCTTCGGATGCATGCAGTGGAAAATACAGTAGGAAAATATATATATACATACACACAGAGAACATGAAACAATGAGTGTTACCATACACACTATAAGGAGAGTTGAGCTATTATTAGCAGGAGAGAAAAAGAACTGTTTGTAGTGGTAATGGAAATGGGACACACACACACACACCCCC